TACACCCGGGAGTGTGACGGTACAAGGTATTCTCATGTACAACCAGGAGTGTGACGGTACAAGGTATTTTCCATGTATACCCAGGAGTGTGACGGTACGAGGTATTTCCATGTACACCCAGGATTATGACGGTACAAGGCATTTCCATGTACACCCAGGAGTATGACGGTACAAGGTATGTCCATGTACACCCGGGAGTGTGACGGTACAAGGTATTCCCATGTACACCCAGGAGTATGACGGTACGAGGTATTTCCTTGCACACCCAGGAGTGTGACGGTACAAGGTATTTCCATGTACACCCAGGAGTGTGACGGTACAAGGTATTTCCACGTAAACCCAGGAGTATGAAGGTACAAGGTATTTCCATGTACACCCAGGAGTAAAATGGTACAAGGTATTTCTATGTTCAACCAGGAGTGTGACGGTACAAGGTATTTTCATGTATACCCAGGAGTGTGACGGTACAAGGTATTTCCATGTACACCCAGGAGTATGACGGTACAAGGTATTCCCATGTACACCAAGGAGTATGACGGTACAAGGTATTTCCATATACACCCAGGAGTGTGACGGTACAAGGTATGTCCATGTACACCCGGGAGTGTGACGGTACAAGGTATTCCCATGTACACCCAGGAGTATGACGGTACAAGGTATTTCCATGTACACCCGGGAGTGTGACGGTACAAGGTATTTCCATGTACACCCAGGAGAGTGACGGTACAAGGTATTTCCATGTAGAACGAGGAGTGTGACGGTACAAGGTATATCCATGTAAACCCAGGAGTATAAAGGTACGAGGTATTTCCATGTACACCCAGGAGTGTGACGGTACAAGGTAATATCTATTTACACCTAGGAGTGTGACGGTACAAGGTATTTCCATGTACACCCAGGAGTAGAATAGTACAAGGTATTTCTATGTAAACCCAGGCGTGTGACGGTACCAGGTATTTCCATGTATACCCAGGAGTGTGACTGTACAAGGTATTTCCAAGTAAACCCAGGAGTATAAAGGTACGAGGTATTTCCTTGCACACCCAGGAATGTGACTGTACAAGGTATTTCCTTGCACACCCAAGAGTGTGACGGTGCAAAGTATTTCCATGTACACCCAGGAGTTTGCAGGTACAAGGTATTTCCTTGCACACCCAAGAGTGTGACTGTACAAGGTATTCCCATGTACATGAAGGAGTATGACGGTACAAGGTATTTCCTTGCACACCTAGGAGTGTGACGGTACAAGGTATTTCCATGTACATCAAGGAGTATGACGGTACAAGGTATTTCCATGTACACCCAGGAGTGTGACGGTACAAGGTATTTCCTTGCACACCCAGGAGTGTGACGGTACAAGGTATTTCCATGTACACCCAGGAGTGTGAGGGTACAAGATATTTCCATGTACACCCGGGAGTGTGACGGTACAAGGTATTTCCATGTACACCCAGGAGTGTGACAGTACAAGGTATTTCCTTGTAACCCCAGGAGTATAAAGGTACAAGGTATTTCCATGTACACCCAGGAGTGTGACTGTACAAGGTATTTCCATGTACACCAAGGAGTGTGACGGTACAAGGTATTTCCATGTAGACCCAGGAGTGTGACGGTACAAGGTATTTCCATGTACACCGAGGAGTATAAAGGTACGAGGTATTTCCATGTACACCCAGGAGTGTGACGGTACAAGGTATTTCCATGTACACCCTGGAGAATAAAGGTACGAGGTCTTTCCTTGCACACCCAGGAGGGTGACGGTACAAGGTATTTCCATGTACACCCAGGAGTGTGACGGTACAAGGTATTTCCACGTAAACCCAGGAGTATGAAGGTACAAGGTATTTCCATGTACACCCAGGAGTAGAATGGTACAAAGTATTTCCATGTTCAACCAGGAGTGTGACGGTACAAGGTATTTTCATGTATACCGAGGAGTGTGACGGTACAAGGTATTTTCATGTATACCCAGGAGTGTGACGGTACGAGGTATTTCCATGTACACCCTGGAGTATGACGGTACAAGGCATTTCCATGTACACCCAGGAGTATGACGGTACAAGGTATTCCCATGTTCACCAAGGAGTATGACGGTACAAGGTATTTCCATATACACCCGGGAGTGTGACGGTACAAGGTATTCTCATGTACAACCAGGAGTGTGACGGTACAAGGTATTTTCCATGTATACCCAGGAGTGTGACGGTACGAGGTATTTCCATGTACACCCAGGAGTATGACGGTACAAGGCATTTCCATGTACACCCAGGAGTATGACGGTACAAGGTATGTTCATGTACACCCGGGAGTGTGACGGTACAAAGTATTCCCATGTACACCCAGGAGTATGACGGTACAAGGTATTTCCATGTACACCCGGGAGTGTGACGGTACAAGGTATTTCCATGTACACCCAGGAGAGTGACGGTACAAGGTATTTCCATGTAGACCGAGGAGTGTGACGGTACAAGGTATATCCATGTAAACCCAGGAGTATAAAGGTACGAGGTATTTCCATGTACACCCAGGAGTGTGACGGTACAAGGTAATATCTATTTACACCCAGGAGTGTGACGGTACAAGGTATTTCCATGTACACCCGGGAGTAGAATAGTACAAGGTATTTCTATGTAAACCCAGGCGTGTGACGGTACCAGGTATTTCCATGTACACCCAGGAGTGTGACGGTACAAGGTATTTCCAAGTAAACCCAGGAGTATAAATGTACGAGGTATTTCCTTGCACACCCAGGAGTGTGACGGTACAAGGTAATATCTATTTACACCCAGGAGTGTGACGGCACAAGGTATTTCCATGTACACCCAGGAGTAGAATAGTACAAGGTATTTCTATGTAAACCCAAGCGTGTGACGGTACCAGGTATTTCCATGTAAACGCAGGAGTATGACAGTACAAGGTATTTCCATGTACATGCAGGAGTGTGACGGTACAAGGTATTTCCATGTATACCCAGGAGTGTGACGGTACAAGGTATTTCCTTGCATACCCAGGAGTGTGACGGTACAAGGTATTTCCATGTACACCCAGGAGTATGCAGGTACAAGGTATTTCCTTGCACACCCAGGAGTGTGACTGTAGAAGGTATTTCCTTGCACACCCAGGAGTGTGACGGTACGAGGTATTTCCATTTACATCAAGGAGTATAACGGTACAAGGTATTTCCATGTACACCCAGGAGTGTGACGGTGCGAGGTATTTCCTTGCACACCCGGGAGTGTGACGGTACAAGGTATTTCCATGTACACCCTGGAGTGTGATAGTACAAGGTATTTCCATGTAAACCCAGGAGTGTGACGGTACAAGGTATTTCCATGTAGACGCAGGAGTGTGACGGTACAAGGTATTTCCATGTAAATCCAGGAGTATAAACGTACGAGGTATTTCCATGTACACCCAGGAGTGTGAGGGTACAAGGTATTTCCATGTACACCCAGGAGTGTGACGGTACGAGGTATTTCCATGTACACCCAAGAGTATGACGGTACGAGGTATTTCCATGTACACCCAGGAGTGTGACGGTACAAGGTATTTCCATGTACACCCAGGAGTGTGACGGTACAAGGTATTTCCATGTACACCCAGGAGCGTGACGGTACAAGGTATTTCCATGTACACACAGGGGTGCGACGTTGCGAGGTATTTCCATGTACACCCAGGAGTGTGATGGTACAAGGTATTTCCATGTACACACAGGGGTTGTGACGGTACAAGGTATTTCCATGTACACACAGGGGTGTGACGGTACGAGGTATTTCCATGTACACACAGGGGTGTGACGGTACAAGGTATTTCCATGTACACACAGGGGTGTGACGGTACAAGGTATTTCCATGTACACACAGGGGTGTGACGGTACAAGGTATTTCCATGTACACACAGGGGTTGTGACGGTACGAGGTATTTCCATGTACACACAGGGGTGTGACGGTAGAAGGTATTTCCATGTACACCCAGGAGTATGACAGTACAAGGTATTTCAATGTTTCGAAAGAGATGTGACGGTACAAGGTATTTGCATGTACACACAGGTTTGTGACGGTACAAGGTATTTTCATTAAACATAGGGGTGTGACGGTACAAGGTATTTCCATGTTTCCCCAGAGGTGTGACGGTACAAGGTATTTCCATGCTCACGCTCGAGTTTGGTGAATGTACTGCGAGTTTTGTCTGCTCTCTTCCTCGGTCTAATTGTTGGGATATCATGTTATTTTCGGAAACTTTGTTCAGTGTATCAATTTGCAAATTAAGCCATTATCTGACGTCGTTGTTGTTGACATCGTTATCAAGAGAATACACCTCACGTCAAGTGTGTAGAGAAACCTAGATCACTGTAGACAGCCCAAACTTTCAGCAAAACCAGTGAACAATTACAAAAGGCTTAACTCTCAAAACGGGACAAACACATGTGCACGCAAGCAGGCACAGACGCGCGCGCGCACACCCACATATAGCCTGGCGTTGATCATTGCTCATAATCCACAATGGACTGTCTGGTAAACACCCGACCTTTTACAGACCGCCGCCATATGCAGCGTTAGGCAAGTGATAAACACGCTTTTCAAATAAACATTGTTTGAGTGGAGGATGCTATCAGTAGAGCAGGACATATTTACCTTTTCGGCTTTTTCTACTTATGGAATCTGTTTCGGTAAATATTCTCTGACGTTGACGTTCTGAATTTCTCTGAGGCTACCGACCATGATGTACATGTGTCTGTTTGTACTAGTCCAGTATTATGGTACTACCCCACTGAGGTACCATGCCCCATTTTATCATGGATACCTCACTCAGACACAATATACAGACATCGAGCCGACCAGTAGAGTTGTATCCCCTCAATGCCGAGCACAAGTCAGGGTAACAGCAAGAACTATTTTGTCATGTCTTTCGGTATGACGCACCCGAGCGTCGAACCCCCGACCTTCCGCTCTCTGGGCAGGCGCTCTATCCACCAGATCACGGAGGTGGTCACGGACAGTTTTATGTGACGCGTTAACTAAACCTGAAACTAAAACTAAAACCTTGCATTGAAAGACTGTATGAGCTCATTTATAACCGGGAAGTGAGATATGTCTTTGTTTCACAGGGAGTATGGTGGCTGTGCTGCGGATTTTCTCCGCTCTGTCCTTCTGTCGGATTGTTGGCGCAACAGGTAAAGACCTTTCAACAACTTTGTAAGCATAATCAGTGTATAAGAATGAAAAATAATGTCGCTATGTAACGAGTGATCAGTTCACGTTAACATGTAGGTGGGTATTTTTGAGAGTCTCCATGTTGATGTATGTAGCTGCATGTAATTGCTAATCAAGGAGATATTGCTACACTCGAGTATCTGTAAATATGTTCTTATGTTTGTATGGTGTGTTTTTTGAGAGGTATGGACATGACATACCTACCCGCAGGCGTAGACTTTAGAGCTGAGACGGGTCCAGGACGGACGTCTCACACGTACTAGGTCCCTGTCTTCACCATGTCCATCTGTGACATTCCTACCAGTGTAGTCTTGTCATGTATTCGGCCGTGTCCGTCTGTGACATTCCTACCAGTGTAGTCTTGTCATGTATTCGGCCATGTCCGTCTGTGACATTCCTACCAGTGTAGTCTTGTCATGTATTCGGCCACGTCCGTCTGTGACATTCCTACCAGTGTAGTCTTGTCATGTATTCGGCCATGTCCGTCTGTGACATTCCTACCAGTGTAGTCTTGTCATGTATTCGGCCATGTCCATCTGTGACATTCCTACCAGTGTAGTCTTGTCATGTATTCGGCCATGTCCGTCTGTGACATTCCTACCAGTGTAGTCTTGTCATGTATTCGGCCATGTCCGTCTGTGACATTCCTACCAGTGTAGTCTTGTCATGTATTCGGCCATGTCCGTCTGTGACATTCCTACCAGTGTAGTCTTGTCATGTATTCGGCCATGTCCGTCTGTGACATTCCTACCAGTGTAGTCTTGTCATGTATTCGTCCATGTCCGTCTGTGACATTCCTACCAGTGTAGTCTTGTCATGTATTCGGCCAGGTCCGTCTGTGACATTCCTACCAGTGTAGTCTTGTCATGTATTCGGCCATGTCCGTCTGTGACATTCCTACCAGTGTAGTCTTGTCATGTATTCGGCCGTGTCCGTCTGTGACATTCCTACCAGTGTAGTCTTGTCATGTTTTCGGCCATGTCCGTCTGTGACATTCCTACCAGTGTAGTCTTGTCATGTATTCGGCCACGTCCGTCTGTGACATTCCTACCAGTGTAGTCTTGTCATGTATTCGGCCATGTCCGTCTGTGACATTCCTACCAGTGTAGTCTTGTCATGTATTCGGCCATGTCCATCTGTGACATTCCTACCAGTGTAGTCTTGTCATGTATTCGGCCATGTCCGTCTGTGACATTCCTACCAGTGTAGTCTTGTCATGTATTCGTCCATGTCCGTCTGTGACATTCCTACCAGTGTAGTCTTGTCATGTATTCGGCCATGTCCGTCTGTGACATTCCTACCAGTGTAGTCTTGTCATGTATTCGGCCATGTCCGTCTGTGACATTCCTACCAGTGTAGTCTTGTCATGTATTCGTCCATGTCCGTCTGTGACATTCCTACCAGTGTAGTCTTGTCATGTATTCGGCCAGGTCCGTCTGTGACATTCCTACCAGTGTAGTCTTGTCATGTATTCGGCCATGTCCGTCTGTGACATTCCTACCAGTGTAGTCTTGTCATGTATTCGGCCGTGTCCGTCTGTGACATTCCTACCAGTGTAGTCTTGTCATGTATTCGGCCATGTCCGTCTGTGACATTCCTACCAGTGTAGTCTTGTCATGTATTCGGCCACGTCCGTCTGTGACATTCCTACCAGTGTAGTCTTGTCATGTATTCGGCCATGTCCGTCTGTGACATTCCTACCAGTGTAGTCTTGTCATGTATTCGTCCATGTCCGTCTGTGACATTCCTACCAGTGTAGTCTTGTCATGTATTCGTCCATGTCCGTCTGTGACATTCCTACCAGTGTAGTCTTGTCATGTATTCGGCCATGTCCATCTGTGACATTCCTACCAGTGTAGTCTTGTCATGTATTCGGCCACGTCCGTCTGTGACATTCCTACCAGTGTAGTCTTGTCATGTATTCGGCCACGTCCGTCTGTGACATTCCTACCAGTGTAGTCTTGTCATGTATTCGGCCATGTCCGTCTGTGACATTCCTACCAGTGTAGTCTTGTCATGTATTCGGCCAGGTCCGTCTGTGACATTCCTACCAGTGTAGTCTTGTCATGTATTCCACCATGTCCGTCTGTGACATTCCTACCAGTGTAGTCTTGTCATGTATTCGGCCGTGTCTTTCATTTGTGAGAGACAGGAAATTGGAACTGTGATTTGAGCTAGACTTAGACTGTGCATAATGTGTCGCTGACTAATCGAACTGTAATCGGAATATGTTTGTGACCAGGATCCAGATTGTGTCCGATTGGAGGAGTTTCTGTATCACGTTGAGTATTCACCTATTTTGCGTTGCCGCATATATGCTAGGAAAATTAAAAAAAATACGAACTTGTTGCTGATGGTGTGTATTTAAATATTGAGAAGTCAAATATAAACTAACAACTTTTTCTATTATACTGCTGTATGGATGCCAGACTTAGGGCACTGACCAGCCTGACTGTAAACCTCTGACCGTCGTTATCCTCACATCCGACGGGCCTGTCAACCTCATGAGCGTGAACGATTCTACTCTCTGTAAAGGCGAAGGACGAGTTCCAATTCTATTACCATCTTCAAATCATTATTAAGGGAATCGGCAGTCAAGAACAGCTGCGTTGACCCGGAATACCGAATTGGTAAGATAAATGAAGATGGACGGAATCTTAAACTGTGCACACGCACAAATGGAAATGTGCCGATTCCTGCTTCCCAGCTAAGCCTCAGCGCAAGATGTCCCGGAAACACCCCGGTCCAAACACTGGCACCAAATGGACCTGATCAGCACACCGCAGCTTATCACATGTGTTCACCTCAGTGCCGAACTTTTCTTGGTCTGATTCCAGCGGAAGAAGATTGACCTCTCTATTAAGCTAGAGAGGAAGATTCGTTGATGTCAGCAAGACCTGGGACCCGCTGAGAGTTGAGTCTTTTTCAGGTGCCAAGGATGATTATCTGGTTACAGAACCTCCATATGGTGATGCCAAGAAAGGATGGGACCATCTAGGAGACACACAGTTTCAATCTCAGCCTTTGGGGAAAAAACAAGGAAAAATCATGCTTGGCTCAAAGCTCACAAATGCATGATCACCCCTGTCGTCGAGGAAAGGTGCGCAACACTAACAAAATACAAACAACACGTCCCATTTTAATTCTGGAAACCCAAAAGTCCAGAAACTCTACGGTCTCTGCCGACTCTCGGTCAAAGGTATTTACAAAACTAAACATGCTGTTTTCATGGGAACATACCAAGGAAAAAAAAATGAAAAAACTCAATATTTACACTATCTCGCCCATGGGCGAGAATATGTTCCTTTATTCAAAACTCATGTTTTTGTTTCGCAAATACATTAAATGTATTCATTCAAGTATCATGACACAAAATTTAACTCATTTTAACTTAATTCAACTATTTTATAGCGATATTGAAATATTTCGCCCATGGGCAGACAGCATAGAATGCCAACTCAAAAATTATACTCAATGTCTCCGCAAAGTAATATAGTACGGAACTTAGAGTACATGTGAGATTATGTTTAATCCATATAACGTGTTATTATTCTACCTAACAATGTATTTAATGAAATGAATGCAAAACAAACTCAACGGCTAAAAGGTTTCATTGAAAAAAATACCCCTGGTCTTGCCAAAAAAACCAACTGCAATCCGACACAGATTAAACGCAACTTACAAACACAATCATAATCTGGTAATTCTGTATCACTCAACAAGTTGGAGTCGCTTACTCTGCCCACAGTATGACAGTATTGTGAACCATAGCAAGTACTATCTGCGAAACTATTTGCTCCTTTTATGGGACCGATTAGTTTTATGGCCATGGGCCTCGGCACAAGCGTGGTGATGGAAGACAAGTTATACATGTACATCCGATATGGTGACTGTTTTCGCTATTCATATTTTAAATAAATTCATAATACCACAACATTTTAGTACTCCTTGAAACTTTACAATCACTTCATTATCTACAATAGATTGAACGAGAACAAATGATATATTGCAGATTATTAAATCATTGTCTCTATTATCAGCCGCTACGTTTGTATCGTTTGCATTGTACAAAGAAATATTTTGTCTGTCCTTTTGCAGATTTAGCCTCAGGATGTGCTCATTCGAAATAGGAACGAAATTGCTTATCATGAGTATATATGATACACTGTAGATGTATTCACTTTAAAGTCGTATACGACCTTCGCGAGCGAGTTGAATGATCCAGGTTAATTGGAACGAAGTGTAGAAAGGGTTATAAGGTTTTGTATTTGGTAATGTGTAGGTTTGTTAAATATGATTTTTTTAATTCCTTTTATTTCAATATGTAAAAACATAATTATGCGCTTCAAAACAGAGCTGACTTGATGGGAGATATGGCGTTAGCCACCTGAGATTGTAGGTTGGGCACGGTTTAACCTTACTGTGTCCTCCCCCTTGTTGTTGTTACCGTTGTTATAAGGGATTAGGAGCTACGGCTCATTGCATTTTTGGTTACAGTCTGTCTAACTAAAGTGGACATGTGCAGGTGAACTCTGTTGAATTAGTATATGAAATGCCCCAAAATGTGAACTCCAAACAATAATTACCTGAGAGTAAATCCACGTGCGTCTGCCTTTCCCCTCGTTCACCTTGGAAATCCTTGATTATTATATCATGCAAGAGTTCTGAAATTCAGTGACAATGTTGCTGAACAGTAGAATCTGATGGACGTATTGTGCAGAACCTGTTTGACACTATGGGTTCCAGGACCACTAACAATCTGAGCTGAAAAAGTTTGGTCCTAACCGCCCCAACATCTACAAGTTTGTAAGCTTGTAGACGTCATTAAGAAGACATTAACAGTCCCATGCTGAGACCTTTCTCAAAATTCAGGCCGGTGGCAGGCTGCCAACAAAGAGATGAAAATATCGCAACCCCGACACAAATGTGCTCAGACAAACAATAAACTTACGACATACAG